ATGTTACGTACTGTTCATGAGAGACATGCAATTACAGGTCCATCTCACGAGTGTGTTGCCTTGGGTTAGACTCAACAAGCGTCTTCAGAGCATCAATATAAGTTCCACCATGTCGGCCCCTGCCAGCACAGTTTTTAAGGCTAAAGTCATCTGAACGAAATTTGCTGAACCATCATTGACACTTAAGAACGTTCAAAACATTTCCATAAACTTCTTTCATATTATTTGTGGCTACAGAGGCGTCGTTTCCCTTCTTGTATTCAAACAGCATTACATGCCAAATGTGTGTTTCGTCGTGTGCCACCACTATAAGGGATTAGAGTATACTAAACGTTACACATCATATAGGCTACACTAATGTGACGTTTAGGCGTTTCGTTTAACTATTATACGTGATGTACGTTTTTAGGGGGTGGTTAATGAAAGTGTTCCAAAACGTGATATTAATTTCTTGACGATGAGCCTGTTTCAGCTGCACTTCAGCACAGTCCTCTCACCGCACTATTCCTCAATCCAAAGTCTCGCAGCCACTCATGAAGCGAAGTTGCAACGAAACCTCGGCAGCTTGCTTCAAGCGGATAGCATACTCCTTTCCATCCTTTATCCTCACAAATAGACCTCAGTTCAACATATTTGGCGAACTTCCGTTGATGAGCTTCCTGAATGTTATCCTCCCACATCACAGTCAGTACAGCGAAGATCACTTGCTGCCAAATAGCCGACCAGATAACAATATCCGATCTGAGGTTTGTGACTGCAATTTGTGGTGGAAAGTTTCCATTCCCTGCTGATATCTTCCAGTCACTTGCACAGGAGACTATGCTATTTTTCCCTGGACTGCCGCAGTAACCACCTGGCCCAAGACATTACCTTTGATTTTGCGTACAAATTTTGAGAACATTTCAGTATAATATCTTCTTAATGAAATACTTATTTTGTAGGCGTATTCTTTAAGTATAAAAATGATGAAAACCATGACATTTAGCACTTTTAAAAACAAAAACTAAGGTTAAACACCTCTAACCTCGTTATTGAATTAAACATATTGCATGAGTTAGAGTAGAAATAAATGACTTGATCTAATCTGCAGAAAGTCATGTTTTAGTTTCTGTTACAACCACATATCAGATATAATGTAAGGAACTGAGAGAAAAAAAACATAAGCCACAGATCTGTGTTGATTACAAGTGATCCACATTTCTAACAGCCGTCCGGCATGGCCAGGTGGTTAGGACGCTTGACTCTATATCTGCGGGTTCGAATCCCCCGTCACACCCAAACATGCTCGCCCTTTCAGACGTGGGAGCGATATAATGTGACGTTAGGTAAAG